GCATGTATTATTCTTCATAATATGATCATAGAGGATAACGGGTCTGCGATTTGTCAATACAACCCGGACGAGGAGGTGCCTATGTACGAAGAAATCACCGAAGAAAAGAAACGACGCAACCGCCAAGAAATTCGAAGCCGAGAGATTCACAATGCACTAACGGCGGATTTGATCGAGCATATCTTTAGTCGTTCGAATAATTAGTGATTTCTTTGTACTATTGTTTTTTTATGTAATTTTTTTTAATGAATGTAAATTTTTTTTATGTTTTTTTTATGAATGTAAGATTTTTTTATAATGAATTTAATTTTTTTATGCACTAGTGTCATTGCGATTCATTAAAATAATAAATTAATTTAAATTTATAAATTTAAATTTAGAAGATGTATATTTAAAAATGTAAAAAATGAAGGTTTGAAGCCCCGGGGCTTCAAAACCATTTCCAGTAAATTTTGGGTGTAAGTTAAAGCTGACGTGACAGAGAGAGAAAGTTTGAAGCCCCGGTCTGAAGCCCCGGGCTTCATGACCATTACCAGTGCTCTTAGTGACACACCAAACTCTTTTAGACCCTTCGTAGTTGGGCTTTATGCATTCCCATCATCTTTTGTCGCCCATAAGCACCTCTACCTCATGCGCCATAATTCCTCCAAAGTTTATCCCATTTTACTCCATTTATATTGCACAATCGATTGTGCAATACTTTTTGTATATTCATGTTGAGTACTTATTATTCATGTTGAGTACTTATTTACGTGTAATAAAATATAAGAAATGTTCTGTGTTTTTTAAGACTAAAATAGAAGTATAATGACAGCTTGATGTAAGAATACGCATTGACAGTGTGATGGAAAAGTGATGACCGTGTAATATGTCAGTGTGATTAGTCAACCATTGGTGATCTGCAGGGGCACTCCAATGGCTGGCAGTGACGGATAACAATGTGGCATTAATAGTGTGCCAGTTACAATGTAATAATGTGGTGAATGTGACAGTTTACCAATGGCAGTGTGAATTGCTATTTTGGTCTTGAAACACTTATGACTCCTATTTTGGTATTTTCATAGTTTTTTACTCTTATCTAAGAAGTTCTTCTATAAAATATTGATTTTCAACCAATTGAATACTCATTTTTGAGCAATTAAATATTTATTTTAGAGTAGCTGAATATTCATTTGTCTAAAATTCAATTATACTAGTAAATGAGTAACTAGTTACTTGAAAATGAGTACTCTATTACTTGAAAAATAAGATTTGAAAATAAGTACTAAAGGATGTACGAGAAACATCATAGATCCAAATGCATAGTATTGGTGCTCCCCATTTTACTATATCTAATCCTACTTTTTTATTTTTACATCTCATCTATTTTACTTTTAATTTAATTAAAAAATATTTAAAAATTACTCTATATAATCATGAAAGGAGCTTTATAACTTCACTATTTTTACGCCAAAAAAATTGCTCTTAGATACCCTCGGTTTTGTGATAAGAACTACCGAGTACCCTTATTTTAAAAATATACTCACGTGTACCTTTCATTATTTGAAAACTTACTAGCAGGGCCCTTCCGTCAATTGCTCCCTTACTCCGTTAGTTTATTTTCTTCACCATCATCATCCACATTCGTTTTCTTCCTCCTCCTCCACATCATCACCATCATCTTCTTCTTCATCTTATTCTCCTCCTCCTCGTTCCAATCCAGACCCCCTACTCCTTCCGGGAAATCAAGAAGTAGTCACTGCATGACTTTCCAAAATCGCTCAATCGTTGATGAAGACCTTCTTTCTTCTTCTTCAGTATATATTGGACCTCCGCAAGGGTTGATGAAGGCCGACAAAATTCATTTCCTCCGCCAAGCCTGTGGTCATGTGGCTCACCAGAGGTTTGTGCCCGAATCGAATTCTATAGCTTTATTTAGCATAAATTTTTTCTGGGTTCGCTTAAATTTTTAGCTAAATTGATTCTTTGTCAGATCTAAGAGCTTATGAGAAGTGATTGTATGTTCAATGTTGATTTGCAGGACCTGGATATACAAGCCTTGGTTTCTTTGAGATCGAAAAAAACTATGCACATGGATGAACATGACTTCTTCATCTCTGCCCTTCAATAATTTCTCTTAACCCATGCAACAAAATTTCTCCCTCCATTCCCATAATCCCATTCAACCAACGCACCCGTAGTTAACACAGAGTACATGGAAAGTCAATCGGATCAATCAAAGCAGAAGAAGAAGAGAAAGACGAAGAATAAAGAGGAGGAGGAAGAAGATGATGAATAAATGGAAGAATGAAGAAAAAGAAGATGAAGATGATTATGTGGATGATGATGGTAAAGAAGAACAAACTAACAGAGGAATTGACGGAAGACCCAATTGGTAGGTTTGGAATAATAGAAGGTACCAGGCAGTATATTTTTAAAATTAGGGTACCTCGTAGTTCTTATCCCAAAACTAGAGGTACCCGGTAGCAATTTTTTGATTTTTACGTCATATAAGCATTTGATGAGGTAGTTGTCACATGGCAATACTGTCTTTTTCATGACTACGTGACTAAATATAAGTGTTATCACTATAAGGGTTCGAACACGTGAGTACGTGACCTTTGATTTGAGAGAGCCATGGTGATACCTAGGGGTGGACACGGTACGTTCCGGGACGGTTCCAGTTCCGGTACCGCCACCCCTTGGTACCGGTTCCGGTACCGGCGGTTCCGGTTCCGGTTCCGGTGCCGTTTCGGCCACCCATAATTTCCTTTTTTTTTGCTTTTTTATTAAATTTTTAAAGTGTAAAATTGTAAATGCGTAATTGTTAAAAGAAAGGATGAAATAAAAAACTCTAAAAATGAAATTGATAAAGGAAAGAATGAAATAAAAAAATAAAAATAAAAAAAAATTAATTACGGTACCGGAACCGGTACCGCCGGTGCCGATACCGAAAAATGGGCACCGGAACCGGTACCGGAGTGGGCGGTACCTGATGGTGTAAATTCCACCGGGTATGAGAAGTAGGTAACTGGATCGGGTTAGGGAGGCCTAACCGGGTAAGTTAAGATAAGCTTAATAGTAAGGAACACAACACAGAATTACCTAGACCAGGGGAAACCTCCCGAGTCCGAATATATTTCTTACTCTTTCTGGAGTGTAGGGTTTTATGGAAGTAGTAGTGAATGCCCTCTCCTCTCTCTATCACATATTATTTATAGAGTAGAGGAGGCTGAGTAAGTGCATGGAAGCTACCCACTTTAGGACAAATAACCAGACAACATCTATTACTCTGCAATCAGAATATATTGATTGAATACAAATCTAGGATGGTGCCAAAGGACTTTACCACACTGATTTCTTGAGTGACGGGTGTGGGTCCCTCCATTGATCTCCTAGATACTAGGGTTTGGGGGAGGCGGATACGTCCGGCCGTGATCCATAGATCGAAGCTCAAAAGTAAGACCGGTCAAGTTGTACGGAGCCCAATGCTTCATTTTCTCAAGAGCTCAAGATAGTGACCGGTCTCCAATCTGGGGGTGACCGGCCACTCAATGTCGTACCCAAAAAGCGTCTAACGTCTATTCCGGAAGACCAAGACCGTGACCTGTCACCCTAATCCGGTAGGTGACCGGTCACCAACTGCCGCGCCTAACTGTCTGCACCGACCATCCCTGAAGACCAAGAAACGTGACCGGTCACCTTAGTCCGGGGGTGAGCGGTCACCCACCGCCCATGATCTGAAATGCCCATCTCGCCGAGGTTGAAGGGTACAACCGTGACCGGTAATCGTAATCCGGGTATGACCGGTCACCTGTCACCGTTCTCCAAAGTACCCGTCTAGTCAAGTCCGGAAAGAAGACCCGTGACCGGTCACCTTAAATCGAGGATGATCGGTCACCTAGCGCCATGCTCCAAACAGTCGCCCAGCCGAATCCGAAAGACCCGAATCGCCACTAGTCACCCGACCTCGTGGTTGACACGTCCCCTCGGTATTGACGAGTATACCTGGGTATATAATATACCCATCAGTACCGGTACCGGTTCTCAGAACCAGTGGACCGTCCCGGACGACGGTAAGGGTACCGGAACCGGCGGTACCGTTTCCGGTCACGGTACTGTACCGGTACCGTATCCACCCCTAGTGATACAGTACTCCCCCGTCATTGAGTATTTGTTTACTTTTTGACTTTTTTTTGGATATACTTGATCTCAAATCAAATAAAATGATACATAGTATTAGATATTGATACAAAAATAGTTATACGGAGTATTAGATTTATTATACTCATATAAAATATTTTCAAAAAGTCATTTTATCTAATTAATATACAATATATATTTTATTTAATAATAGGTAAAAGGTTGAAAACGATTAACTGAAAAAATCAAAATAGAACAAATACTCGCAGACGACCTTGAAGTAAGACCATGTTCTTTTTTATTTGAATTTCAGTGTTGGATGTTAGAAGAAATTCGAAGGAGTTAGAAAAAATTAGAAAGAGCTGGAAAATGTTGGTAGAATCAAACTATTAAAAAGTCATCCAATCAAATGATCACCAAATAAATATGTTAGAAAACTTTAGTTTTGCATAATTTTTTTTATCTTTGTTATGTTTGAAGTGATGTGCTATACATTTAGATATACAATGATACGGAGTATTCTATAGTAATCATATACAAATACTATATTTATGTCAATTAGAAAAAACTAAAAAGAGTTGAAAAGAACTGACAAGAGTGTGGAAAGAGTTATAAGAAAGTTGAAAGTTAATTCCAGTCTAATCCTCCCTCCGTCCAATAATAAAGTTCCTGTTCAATATTCACATGATCAAATTTTATTTCACTTTGTTTGTTTATTTTCGTTTCATATTTGATAAAATAATATAGTAATGTCACCTCTAATTTCGTAGATCTTTTCATACAGTTTTTAAATATATAATTTTTATTTTGTTAATTTCATACCTTTTTTCATATAAAATGATTTGAAAATAATCAAACATCCTAACTTGTTATGGGAATTTTATTTATGGAGGGAGTGAATATAATTTAGAGCAATGCTAGGGGTACACCAAAAATGTACTCCATTTGTCCCCCACCCCTGTCTCCACCACTCATTTTAACCCCATTTTTATTTATTTTATTTTGTTTTAGTTTCTTGCCTATTTTTGTGGTAATGGAGGGGGTGAGGGACAAATGGGGTACACCTTTAGTGTATTCCTAACATTTTTTTAAGGAGTATAATTTATGTTATCCTGTTCTTTTACTCCGTATTTTTTGGTAGTATCTATGCATCAATTTGCATCTAGTTGGCACAAGACGCGATTGAAGCTAATGGCGGTAAAGCACAGGCAGTGCTAAATATTGCTGTTACCCAATGGCGGTAAAGCATTGTAACCATAGTACAATGAAGCGCTCCATCTGCACTTCTTCTTCTTCTTCTTCTTCTTTGCAATCCAAATGCAGATTTATTCTACTGGCATTGCTCTTCGCACTCGCAGGAGCAAGTCCACCGTCATCTCCTGCTGCCGCGGCAGGCGGCGGAGGAAGACCCGGAGAAGATGCGAGCATCACAATTGCCGGCAATGTAACTACCGACAACCAGAGCGTGACCTTCGATAGGCGTTCTCTGATAATCAATGGCCGCCGGAAGCTGCTAATCTCCGCTTCTATTCACTATCCCCGCAGCGTCCCAGCTGTAAGTCCCTTGCATCTCTTTTTCGAGGGGAGTCAAATTAGAAAACAGATCTGAACAGGAAAAACACAGATACTGGAAATTGTGCTCTATTTTGGTGTTGTTCTCTTGATTTTGTTTGAAGTTTCATGATTTATTAACAACTGATAAAATCTGGTATTCCTTAGATGTGGCCTGGTTTAGTCCAACTGGCGAAGGAAGGAGGAGCTGATGCTATTGAAACTTATGTCTTCTGGAATGGCCACGAACGTTCTCCAGGAAATGTGAGGCCTATGAATCTTAGCTTAGAAATCCAAACTTTTTTTTTCATGTCTATTTTTGTTTCTAATGCTTCCTTTTCCCTTGCAATGTCAAATGTTTCAGTATTACTTTGGTGGAAGATATGACTTAGTGAAATTTTGCAAGATCGTTCAGCAAGCTAGTATGTATCTGATACTTCGAATTGGACCATTCATTGCAGCAGAGTGGAATTATGGGTATGCCAATGCACCACTGATCTGATAACTACATATTGTCCACTGTGAGCCAAGCCTGCACTGATTTGTTTTTGGGCACCTTCCAAAAGGCATCATACTAATGGGTTGGGTTGAACCTATATATTTTGGTTCATTTGTTCTTCCTCCTTTGATCTGGGAGGTGGTTTGCACCCCAACACACACATACACACACAAACATATACTGATCCTATACATACATGTCATCAATAGCACTTGTTCTCCGTAATCAGTTTATGAATTGAGGTTTTAAATTTTGTTCCCTGTATTTAAGTGTTTCTGGAGTTATCAACACTCTGTCAACAAGGTTGTGTAGATTGAATACTTACATATTGTTTGAAAGAATCTTACTTAACACTGGCTTAATAATGCAGGGGAGTACCTGTATGGCTCCATTATGTACCAAATACCATCTTTCGGACCGACAGCGAACCTTTTAAGGTGTGTACATCATTGCGGCATAGATATTTGACACTAAACCAAATTTCAGTTCATACTGTGATAGTAGTGCTGCATTTGTTGAAAGTATCATATGAACCTTTTCTAATAATCTGGGATCCAAATTCCAGTTTTATATGCAGAGTTTTATGACATTCATAGTAAATCTGATGAAGAAAGAAAGGCTTTTTTTATCTCAGGGGGGGCCTATTATCTTGTCACAGGTATGTGAAGCTCCTAACTTGATTTGTTTGGAAAATGACGTGAATCATATTCTCCATTTATGAAGTACATTTTTTAGGGACAAAAACAGTACTTTAGGAACATTTTCACTCGATAATGAAGTGTACACTTTTCTTTTTCGTCTGTACTAATATAGAGTTTACAATTCTTCTATTTCATTTTTAGGAAAAAAAGTATTTCGTTCAACATATTTCTTTCTTCTAAACAAATTCCAACCAGAAACTTTCAAGTTTATAACAATTTTCTTAATTTCCATCAAGTCAAAGTGTAAACTTCTTTTTGAGACAGAGAGGCTTGAGTGTATGATGTATCCATGAATGAATTTTTGTGAGGGCAGGGAAGAACAGTATGGGGTCCAGGGGCAACGCCTTCAGTTAGTTCAGTGTATTTAATGCAATGTGGAGTGACAAAAAGAGTAATATTAATTTTACAGTTTACTCATGAATTTCATCTCTAACAACCATTTAAGTACTGCCTCCGTCCAAAAATGTTTTGCACTTTGTGCAAAACAAAGCAAAATTTCTGAACTTTTCAATTCATTATATTTAAAGATTGGTATAGAAATATAAAATAAAAGTTACATATTAAAAAACTACATCAAAAGTTTTACAAAACAAGAGGTGACAAAGAATATTTTATTTTATCAAATAATCAATGAAAACGCGTAAATAAACACAAGTTCCCATGATTTTTGAATAGTGAAGTGTGAAGATTTTTTTGGGATGGAGGGAGTAATTAAAATGAAAAAGCTTTAAGTTTTATCCAAAAATTGAAGAAGAGATTAAGAACCCTAGTTTCAATCCAAACCCATTTGAAGGAATACACCAATCCGCGTTAAAATGCATACATTCAACACTTGATAACATCAGTGATAAAAAATACATGAAGATTCACTCTTTAATTCAACAACACCAGAAATTTGCATTTTAAAGTCGTTTTTGCTCAAAACGATGTTTTTTTGACGTTTTGCCTAAAAACCCAGGGTCAGCTGCGGAGGACTATACAAAACAGACTAACGAAATATGTTTTCTATTTTAGAAATTTGATAATAAAAAAAATCCCGAGAAAATAGCCAATGGAGTTAAAAGAGTGATTATTGACAATGTTTTAGTTTCAGAGACACAATTGACTAGATCATAATGTAATCTTAAACTTCCGTGGATGTATACTTTCTATGAAGTTTTGGACAGTAAATGTAGCAATGCATCTAAGATCTAACTGAAACAGTCTCTATGAGGGATATGACTGCACATATCTTGGACCTCAGCCTCTAACTGGTTGGGATTACATTGGGTTGTTATTGTTGTTGATAAGAAAATCATAATTTCTTAACTTAACTCAATAAAAAGAAAATATGATACACTATGCAGTGTATAGTTTGTGAAAGGTTTCATGCCTAGTTTATTTTATTATAATATTTCATTCTTTACTCTTCAAGGAAAGCATCCAAATTTCTCAAATGTTAATGTATCAAATGATGAAGCTTTTGTTGTGATGATAAGGACACATTGACATGGAATGCCACCAAACTTCAGCATAATATGCCTTACTCTTTCTAATTATATTTTGCTTGGATGCATAAGTTATAGCTACTGATCTATGAATGTCTTGAGATTCATTAATCAAAAGTTTGTAAACAGGTAGAAAATGAGTATGGTTTCTACGAAGCAGCTTATGGGGAAGGAGGTAAAAGGTATGCCTCATGGGCAGCAAACATGGCTCTTTCTCAAAAGACAGGTGTGCCCTGGATTATGTGTGAGCAGTTTGATGCTCCTGCTGAGGTGGTGAGTGCTTGCTGCTTCAGTCTGACACGTTCTCCCTAACATATTTTCTCATTGTTTACTAGTACTACATAATAGCATAAATCTCAATCCGCATTGTGTACTCAATGATACAAACAGTCATTTCTGCAGTTTTTTACGAACCGTTGCATCTTATCGTGAAACATTCGAATGTTTGGGATCAAACATTTGAATGTTTCGGGCTGTTTTGCAAATGGTGCTAAAGATAAACATTACATTCGAATGTATTGTTTTATATATTCAAATGTACATTATATTGAACAGCGTTACTAAAATCAAAAGGTGATGATGTCCAATGGCCCGATAAGGGGCTCTGCCCCTTGGACTCTGCTACCAGGGCTGCCGCCCGCAGACCCTGCTATGAAATTTGTAATTTTGTTGAACGAGCGTGCATTTGTACCTCCGAACTCGTTATCAACGTCTATTAAAATTCTTGTTCATTCTAAGTAAATCTAATTACATAAAATAGCGTATGACTCTAAAATCACCAACAAATATTGTTACCCCTTTTTCACATAGAGGAATGTCTATCACTCTGTGAGTATTCATAATAAGGACATAGGTATTCTTTTGATTTATAGGCTCTGACCTTTTTTTCCCTTGCATTACTTTGTGAGATTACTGAGATAGCTTCCCGTAGCTATTTCATGTGTTGTTCTACTAGTAAAGCATTCATTTCAGGAATTAACATATGTGTTATGTGGTTTCTTTCTATTTTCTTTTTCCAAAAATGAAATGTATTCCCTGAACATGAACCTGCTATTATCTTAACTAGCTAAAGATTAGAAAACCCTTTTTTAGAACTAGCCTAACTATATAATGAAGTGGTCTTCTTTGAACGTATTGTATTTCAATATAAGAGTATTACATATCTTATTCTTGGTTACATATATTTTTCTAAGTGGGCAGGTGGCGGCTGTTTTGCCACCCGCCATACCCACAAAATCACTACATCGTAGACTCTTTTGTAAGCCATTTAATATGATTCCATTGCTGACCAGTACTTTACACTGGCTGTCTCAAAACATCCCGGTAGCTTGTATTAGAGTAATTAAGGCATGCATAGTCTGTAAAAAAAGGCATGCATAGAGGAGCCATGATCAGATTGAGGAGAGTTGGGGGAGGCTTAAAACATTTTCTGGTAGAGATGTGATCAGAACCACCTATTAGGCTCCATGACGGTACCCACACACCTCTGGATGAGCTCCAGATCATGTACTTCTAACTTAAATGACAAGGAGTTCCATACAACTTTGCTCTTGTCTGGTCCTTCTACTGTCCTTTATCATCTTGATGACATTGTTTTTTTTCCACTGACCCTTGAATATTTTGGAATCCATTCAACTTTGTCCCCATGGTCATATTTCTTCTTCAACCTTTCGTTATTGAATGCGTTCCTTACGTGGATCTTCATTGACAAATAGAAAATAGCTCTGATTACCCATTTGGTTGCTTTATCATATTTTCTGCTGCTAACTGGTAGGTGGTGGCTATTTGCCGCCCACTCCACCCACAATTCCTCTACACCAAGTTCAAGCAATTCATGGACGAAGAAAACTGGTTCAGACAGCAGCACAACGTTTGGCAATTCAGTAACGATTTAGTTTCCTGAGTGTATTCCATGGCTGCACAAAGTTTATTTATTTTCCCAATAGTGCCATTTTTGATGTTTCTAGCTTTTATTACTTTGTCGATTGAAGTAATGATTACAGTTACTGCCCTCTGACGATGTGTTGCTTGAGTGAATTGTAGATTTCCATTTTAAACTACAACTGTACAAGTGGTTAGAAGTTAGAACAGACAGTAAACAACCCAAAGCTCAACCCTTCTAAATCTCTCTTGGGGTGCCTTTTTAGGACGCTCAGACTTACATTTGAGATCATATTAACGTAGGATCATTCATTTTAGCTCAATTCATTTATATCTATATACTTTCTTACAGATTGACACTTGCAATTCCTTTTATTGCGATCAATTCACACCAATCTCTCCAAACAAACCCAAGATTTGGACAGAAAATTGGCCTGGATGGTAAGTCATATATTTTTAATGCAAAGTTAATCTCTGCTTCTTCTAAGATGTAAGTAGTAATCTGTCTTGTTATGTTGTCTTTTATGTTTCATTGTGATAGTGCACCCTTTAGACTCCACACCTTTCAACCCCTCAATTTCAACAATCCCAGCTCGGGCAAGTGACTACCTTCACCACGTCACACTAAGTGCGAATGCAATCCCTTTTATCTATTGATAGGAAGAATTGATGCTAGTAACTTATTGTTCACCATGCAAATACATATGTCATTTTGAACTCTTGAAAAGATGGGGAACAAATGTGAAATCATAAGATTGCCAGTTCATGACTTTTGTTTTCTGGACTATCTATGGCCTGCTCAGCGAGAAGAATCCTAATAGCCTTAAATAGTCTATTTCTTGGTGTAAACCTTCATCACATAATTATTGACAGTAGTGAAAGGGACCGGACTAGAGGCATCCAGAGGACATTCCTTTGATAACAGCTGCCACCCCCACCAATTGATATGCTCAGTAACAGTAATATAATTCTAGCATTATAAAATTTCAGGTTTAGGACATTTGGGGACAGTGACCCTCACAGGCCTCCAGAGGACATTGCTTTTTCTGTGGCACGTTTTTTTCAAAAAGGTGGAAGTGTGCATAACTATTACATGGTATATGTCCTGCCTACATTATCTCCCTATGCTGTTTTAGATGTATGTGTTTCATTTGATGGTGCCTTAAGTGACTGGTGTGGAAATTCTGTTCTTTTATGTTTGACTTCTTTATTTCTTTTCGTTCATTCATTAAATAGTATCATGGTGGGACAAACTTTGGTCGTACATCAGGTGGCCCATTTATTACCACAAGTTATGACTATGAAGCACCCATTGATGAATATGGTAAATTCGTACGATAAACTACTCATTCAGGAACATTAAATGTTTATAATCTTTTAGTGAGCAAAAGCTCTAAACAATTCATTGTAAGGTAGAATTTGATTTTTTTACTAATGGGCTTCCAGGTCTAGCAAGATTCCCCAAATGGGGACATCTTAAAGAACTTCACAAAGCAATAAAGTTGTTTGAGTCTGCGTTGCTGAACAATGAGCCTGTTTCACTTTCACTAGGTCTTTTACAGGAGGTAACCTAATGGTTTATTTAATTTGGTTAAAATATGTGTTCTATGATCATCTATGATCCCTCATTCTCTCTTTACTCAGTAGAAAAGATTAATTGTAATGGATCAAATTCCCAAACTGGGAAATTAGAAACACAACATTTTTTAGCAAAATGGTCTTTCCACTTTATATATATATATATATATATATATATATATATATATACACACACACACACACACACACATATATATATACATATATATATATATATACACACATATATATACATATATATATTATATTGCATTTTTATTTTCCAACTCAAGCTTTATTTTTTATCTACTTGTATTATTAATGTAAACTCACTGAAGAGTTAGGGGCTGTTTGTTTCAGCCTCTTAATGGTTCAGATGTCTGAATGGTTCAACACTTAATGGTTCAGACTGTTTGTTTCAGCCTCTTAATGGTTCAGATGTCTGAATGGCTCAAACATTTGCCTCTGAATGGTTAAGTATTATACAGAGTCTGAATGGTTAAGACCTCTTATCTGAATTGATCAGACATTTGCCTCTGAATAGTTAAGCAATATACTAGCTCTTAATGGTTCAGACCTTGGTTCAGCACTTAATGGTTCAGACCTCTTACTCGTTTAGCACTTACCTATTCAGAAGTTGCCAAACAGCCCAAATATACTTTACAACCATAGTTGCATCATTGCATGAGTATTGTACATCCACAATGTTTTAGTGAGCAGTTACATTTTCATTAGTTAGCATACAAGTTCTCTTTGATTTGTAATGCCATGCACTTAGTGAGCAACTAATTTGTGGTTACTGTGCACACACCTAAATTTTTGCTGTGTAATTGCATTCTATTTAGTGACAATTTCATTTTTGGTTAGTGAACATATAAGACTCTGTTGATAAGTAGTTTTATATTATTCATGTACCCACTGCTGTAGGATAGAAGTTCCCCTCACTGAAAAACTACTGTTTTATAATAGGCAGATGTCTATGAAAATGCATCAAGAGGAGAATGTGCAGCTTTCCTTTCTAATGCAGATAACAAGACTGATAAGGTGGTAGTGTTCCGGAATATGCAGTACAATCTGCCTGCATGGTCTGTTAGCATTTTGCCTGACTGCAAGAATGTGGTATTCAACACGGCGAAGGTATCCCTTAATATTCATACATAAAACNTTATTCATGTACCCACTGCTGTAGGATAGAAGTTCCCCTCACTGAAAAACTACTGTTTTATAATAGGCAGATGTCTATGAAAATGCATCAAGAGGAGAATGTGCAGCTTTCCTTTCTAATGCAGATAACAAGACTGATAAGGTGGTAGTGTTCCGGAATATGCAGTACAATCTGCCTGCATGGTCTGTTAGCATTTTGCCTGACTGCAAGAATGTGGTATTCAACACGGCGAAGGTATCCCTTAATATTCATACATAAAACAATTTTAAAACAGGTTACTATTGGTGTAGTTTTATGAGTATTATTTCTTTTTTTCTTCTTTTTTCATTTATAACAAAAAATCCCCATTTGAAGGGTAAATGAACTTTTGATTGGTAATTGGTTTATGATTTACAATGTGAATATGGTTAACAATAGGAGATTTGGGCCAGTCAAGTGGGGGTAGGCCTGAGGTCATTTCGTCATGCCTTTGTGTGTGTATCATATGCCAAGGGTATAGTTGCTTCTCGAAACCAGTTGTCTGTCTCTCCAGTTTCCATTGTCACTTCCCAAACATTAAACATATATGTTGTGCACTATAAATGCAACATTCGTTTTCTACAATGTGTGGTTTCACCGTTTATTATAGAAGGTTTACAGAGTGGTTGAATCTCCAAAATGGCAATACTATCTGAAAGAGTAGTGTGGTACAGTTGATGAATAGTTTTGTTCATGTAGTGTGGTACAGTTGTAGTCCTACCCTCTTGAAGTGTTTTCTTCAGAAAGTACTTTATGTATTCAGTAAAAAGCCCAGAGAACACTAGTCATTGAGTCATTACTTATGTCCAAAGTGAGTGGTCTGTAGCCTGTACTAAGCTTCAAAGGCAGAATAGTATTAAATAGTTACCAGATAAACAATGACTTCATTGATAAATTCCATCTAATTTAACACTTCCAAGTTTAGTAAGGTGATAGTGAACATCAACAAAGACTTTTTTCTCCCATTATTTTTTGGTAATTGCACCTGAAATTAGATATCACTTTCTTTTGTACTAAGCGAATAAAAAATGAATGCTTGATCACCTTGATGGGTAATAAGAACTGTTTAAAAACCAAAATTACATGTCATATGCTAAAATATGTACACCAAGGTGGTCTCAAACACAAGACATATGCTAAATTGTTTAATTTATTTCCTAACTAGTCAACATCTAATTTATCATTTTAACAGGTCAGATCTCAAACTTCTACAGTGGAGATGATACCATCGGATTTGCATTTTTCATCAGGATCAGCTCATAGTAGACTGAAAGATCTTCAGTGGGAAGTCTTTATGGAATCAGCTGGAATTTGGGGAGATGCTGATTTTACAAGGAAGGGATTTGTAGATCACATCAACACTACAAAAGACACTACTGATTACCTGTGGTGCACAACAAGGTTAGGTTGTCTTTGAAATTGGTTAAATATCATTCTCATGAAAGCCACAAACATATGCATATTTGATGGGTCATACATTAAGCAGAAGATATAATAGAAAGGAGCATGAAAATTGAATTCTGGTTTGGCAAGCCTCTTCTGGCAGTTTGCTAAGAGTGGTTTGCTAACCATTTAGGTGTGGGTAAGGTTCTGAGCTAGATTTTTACAAAAGCTGTTGATCAAGGATGTCTAGATTGATCAAGTTCACAAAGCACTTAAAATAATTGAGTGCATATTACCCATTTTTCTTTTCATTCTTAAAGTTACCTCAATGACTGCCGGTTGTTTCGACTTCCAGATGAGTAGCTTAGGAACTAAATTTATGGAACTTTGTTCATTCAGTCAATAAGGCAGTTGTCTTAATATATTTCTCACTTTTTATTAGTTTATTTGCCATGAATATCTTAAAACTTTCTGTTACTGGCAGTCTATTTGTTGATGGGGATGAGGAATCAGTCATAAATGGAAGCAGCACAATACTCCAGGTTGAATCAAAGGGCCATGTTCTGCATGTCTTCGTCAATAAATTGTTACAAGGTGAAGATTTCATCTTTCTTTTTCAATGCTAGGCTCATGATTTTTTAACCACAAACCACAATTCTTACTTTATATACTCCCTCCGTCCCAAAAAGTCTTTCCTGTTTCATTTTTTGCGCATCTCATAAAACACTTCTATCCCGCCTTGAATGCCAAAAAAACTTTCAAAATAACTTCTACCCACAATAAAGAAGAAATGTTGTAAATTTTAGGCATTTTAGATGTCGGTAGAAGTGTTTTATGGGATGCGCAAAAAATAAAACAGGAAAGACTTTTTGGGACGGAGGGAGTACATAATTCCTATATACCTGAGTAGTTTTTACACTGTTCTTACTCATTTAATCTGTAAAAGCCCTTATTTCATGTGTGTGCAAGAATCCCTGAAGTAATTTTACTTGTGCTGTGCGCTGTTCTTTTCAGCTACTTCATATGGAAATGGTACAGTTCCATCCTTTAAGCTGCGAACTCCTATTTCTCTCAGTGCGGGAAAGAATGAAATTTCATTACTAAGCATGACCATGGGTTTATCAGTAAGTTTCCGATTAATTTTTTTTTAAATTTAAAACATTTATTTTTTTTGAAAAGTTTAAAATAGATCTTTATTTTCAGATATTGTCCAAAAAGCGGTGGCAACTTAAAGTTATCTTTAAAAAAAGAGTTAAAGGGTAATTGATCTAAATACTGCTATTGCTAAATAATTTTGGCTCTCTTTCCTGGACATGTATCATGACTGCCATGACATATGAAATACTCCCTCCGTCTCACAAAAGGTTCCACAATAGAATAAGAAAAATGAAATTATGTGGTTGAAAGTGGTGCAAAAGAGAGAAATAATATAGTCCACAACATTTTTAACATAAATAGAAAATGGAATCTTTTTTTGAGACAAACAAAAAAGAAAATGTGGAACTTTTTATGGAACCAATGAAATATATAAACCAATGGTGTTCTTCAAATGGTGAGGGCAATTATGGACATATATGTGTTAAGCTGGTTACTAGTTGGAATATCTCAAACTTTAAATTGCTGGGCTTGTTTTGGTGAATGTTACGTAGTTTCTCTATATTAACCATAAATTGTTTTTTGTTTGATTGTAGAATGCTGGCGCATTTTATGAATGGGTTGGGGCAGGTCTAACAAGTGTAAAAGTTGAAGGGTTCAAGAATGGGACGATTGACTTGTCTTCAAACATTTGGACGTACAAGGTACTCCTTTTGGCTTTCCAGCCATGTGTATGGGAATCCTATAACTGCTACCGCCCAGCCTCCTTGTTAACGCATGCATTCATTGTTTCAAAATGCGCCATGTGGCCTCTAGATGGTAGAAATGGAGCCTAGCGACTAATTGTGTTTAGGCAGGGCTGAAATATAAGAAACAATCAGACACAATGAAGAGTCCTACCAATTTTGTACCAACCAGTTTGATCCAGCACCTGAACCAGTCTAAAACACCCAATTGAACAACCTTCGATCATAACAGGTCGAAACCGGTGAAAACCAGTAGCACAGTCATACCAGTTCCGGTTCTTGAACCGGTTGGGGGGGGGCACAAGTATGTTAGAGTATTCCACATCGGAAAATAAAGAAGAAAACAATTGGTTTATAAGCTCTTGAGTTGAACTAGTAATAGATTGGATTCAATCTTTTAATTTAATGTGGTTCAACCCAAGTGTCTTATGCCCCAATTCAACAACCCTTTGCCCATCCTTAATTCTATTATAGTGTCATAGTTGGTTTTGGCCCACCTCGTTTGTCAAGGTATCTGTCCTGCGTGTCTTTCGCCCAATTGTCCCGGTGGCCCATTTAACCCAATTGTTCATCTTGAAGTCCATACCTAGCGGCTTGTGGTCATATAGGTGTTGCCGCTACACTCTCATATATTAGTTTCAAGGGGAAGAGACTCTATTTGAATCTAACTGGCTATATTCAAATTGACCCAATTGTCCATTTGAGGGAGAGTGTTAGAGTATTCTACATTGCAAAATAAAGAAGAAAATAATTGGTTTATAAGCTTTTGAGTTGAACTAGTAATCGATTGGATTCAATCTTTTAATGTGGTTCAACCCAAGTGTCTTATGGCCCAATCCAACAACCCTTTCCATATCCTAAATTCTATCCGCGCATATCAAAGTTCACGTGCAAACTGTTGACTTTTGTGAATATTGCATTTTCTAACTGCACACTATGCATTGGACTAGTTACAAATAATTACATAAACTTCTCTGCATTTTTTCAAGCATTTACTATATGTTTTAAGAAAATTTGTTACTTGGAAACTGATCTTTGACCATGACAGTTTGTTGATAGAAAATGGCAGCCATCATATTATTTATCTTCATTCAGTGGATGAAAGTATTACCATGAAACTCATCAGGAAGTGATAACTTCAGGCCCATAGTTCAAGTTTTTCAAGAAGAAACATAGCATCAGATGTTTGATGCAAAATGCCCTAATATTTTTTCCCTTTCATATGTATTTTAATTCTCAGATTGGGTTGAGAGGTGAAAGTCTGAGAGTATACGAGGGAGACGGCTTGACCAGTAACATGTGGGTGCCAATTTCGGCACCACCTAAAGAACAACCCCTCATATGGTATAAGGTAAGATGTGTGAGGAATTATGTGCCACAGAACTGTCACCCTTTAACTATACTCTTGCGTTCAAAGATATATGATCAGCTGTGATATCACAGGCTGTGGTTAATGCTCCACCAGGTGATGAACCCGTTGGCCTAGACATGGTCCATATGGGGAAAGGCATGGCTTGGTTGAATGGAGAAGAAATCGGAAGGTATTGGCTCAGGAAAAGCTCTAAAAAAGATAAGTGTGTTCATCAGTGCAACTACAAAGGCAAATTTACCCCTCACAAGTGTAACACAGATTGTGGAAAACCCACACAACGATGGTAAGACCACGTGTGATATGATGATGCCTGGAGAACATGAAATTGTGATCCTTTTACCAGCAATATTATACACCAGGAATAACTTTTCCATTTTATGCATGTCTGGATTTGGGAGCAATTAGGTACCATGTGCCGCGGTCATGGTTCAAGCCCTCTGGTAACATCTTGGTGATCTTTGAAGAGATTGGTGGAAACCCTACAAAAATTAAATTTTCTCGCCGCAAAGTATCCAACATCTGTGCTCAGGTTTCAGAAGGTCACCCTTCCTTTGATCTTGAACAACTTCAAGAGGGTGAAATTGAGAAGAGCATGAGAAAACCCACTCTTAAATTGAAATGCCCGATGAATACTCAAATTACTGCAGTTACCTTTGCTAGCTACGGAACTCCCACTGGTACATGTGGCTCCTATGTTGAAGGAGAGTGCCACGACTCAAACTCTGTCTCGTTGGTCAATAAGGTATGACCCCTATCCAAAACTCCCCCACCCCCCAGCATTTGTCCCTAAGCATACAACTTAAAGCTTGGCTAAGCAATATGGATATCTCAAACTTCCCTTGTAAACAAATTTGCACCAACTATAACATGCTATTTTTTTCGAAAGAAAAGTGTTTGGTAAACAAATAAGTTAATCAAAAGCTACTTATTCTGCTTTTAAGCAAAATAACCCGAATCACAACAAATGAGCTTTAGATTGCATTTCAATCCAAGTGATGTCTAGCGGCTCATTTGTTATGATGGCGACCTTAGAGTGCTATCACCATTGTTTTGCAGGCTTGCATGAACAAAAGTGAGTGTGCCATAGAACTATCTAGCAGAAATTTTAATACGGGATTATGCCAAAACATGACCAAGACATTTGCAGTCGAAGCCCAGTGTAACTGAAGAGTGAAGATGCGTAATTCGCCTCCCACATATTTCCACTTTTCTTCAGAAAAAAAGTATGGTACTCTTTATAGTCCCTTTCTCTTTATTCTTATTCATGCGGCTGAACAATATGCACAAAGCATCTTTGTTAGTTTGATACCATTTGTACCCTTTAACAAGCCAAGTTTGCTAACTTTTGAGTGGAGTAAAAGAAAGAATGAAGATACACTGATTAATAGCTATATAGAGGATGGTTTTGGTTTTCCTTGAGGTCCAGCTAGGGGTGTATCCAAATCGAATATAATTAATTCGATTCGTGATTTGTATTTGAAAAATATGATTCGTATTCAATTAAATCGAAGTCGAATCCGAATACAAATCTAGTTTTAGATTAGAATCTAAGTCAAATCCGAATACGAATACCAAGAGGTCCGATTCGTTTATAATTCAAATTATTCAAACATTTTAAAATATAAATAAACAAAAAAAATTATGTTGCTCCGCATATAGTTTTGTATATGTTCGATTACAATTGATGGCCAATAGTATTCCAAACTAACCCTATCTCATTTACTTGTTTTTAGGAATTGTGTGCTAAAAAATCTCTATTCTTTTCGCATTTGGATACGAATTCAAATACATCGAATATGCTATCAAATCGAATACAACCATTTATTTTAGGTTCGAACTATTATCGAATCCAAACTTGAGTATGTGTCATTCTAAACGAATCTGAATCGAATTTCTTGTTATTTGATTCGATTCAGGTCGTATATACCCCCATGTTTAGTGCTTTGTTATATACTCTGTATCAATTTTTTTCTCCTTTTTATTTTTCATTTTTTTAAAAGGAAAACCTTTTAGTTTTGGCCATTTTGAAAATTAGAACTTTCTCAAGGACATCCTTATACGAGTAATTATAGAGTTTTGGGTAAACTGACTTGTCTTCATTCATTATGTTTCGAACGTTTGGAGTACTTATATAGGGATATTTGCAAGATAACTATCTAACCATGTAAAGCTTTTTTGAATTAATTAAAAATTTGAAGTTGCTTGGGAACATAGGCAATTATGATCTTGCGCTGAACACATTGACAAACAATATGACAACCAATATCAATATGCTCAGACCGTTCAAGAAACATATGATTAACAACGATAAATAAGGCGGACTTGTTATCACTATACAAATGCGGAGTTGCCCATAAGGTGGACTTGTTATCACTATACAAATGCGGAGTTGCCATGCACGGGATGGCTGACGCCGCCAATAAGCCCTGCAGACATCGAGCCAAGAACAAGCATTAACCATCGCACGGTATTTGACATCAGCAAAAGAACGAGACACAATACCTTTTTTTGTCTGCCAATAAATTAACGATCCCTCCCCAAGTCATTGACCATTGTGTGAGAAGGTAACTTGCCCATCAGAATCACAATAAGTAGGAAGACCAAGATTACTATCACTTCACAAAAGATGAGAAGAATACCCAAGATGTCCCTTAAGAAAACGAAGCACACGCCTAGTTGTATTGAGGTGATCCAAACGAGGAGCATGCATAAATTGAGAAAGAACATTCACTGAATAAGAGATATTATTTGGTTGGTTTGAGTATTTGGTGCTTCAAAAATCGGAGTTTGGGAGTGTTTTTTCCAACAACTTTAACAAATTTGGGAAGTATGGTTTTTTCTTTGTTATTCTCCAAACACCTAAAGTACATTTACTCCATTTTTTTTCCAAAATGTGTATTCGTTGGTTATCCCACAGGAACGAAAGGGTGGCGTGTCTACGATCTTGAAGCCCACCGTTTCTCACTCTCGGGACATTTCGTTTGATGAAACTCGGAATCCGTTCGTTGTGCCAAATCTAAAGCAACGATCACCATCCACTTGTCATCTTCGCACTTGATAGATTTCTCGGTCCTAGTGATGCCTGAAAACCTAACGATGTCCGAACAACCCATCGACGTCCAGCCGGCTACCCCATCGGTGGCAGTGGGTAATCAACCAGTCGGTCGCAGATATGGCAGCAGCACCACCCTCTCTTGGGGTCCATGGGCTTGTATTGATCCCTTCCTTTTCATTGCTTTGTTTGTTAAAATGGCGTGTCAAAATGACGTTAAAACTCATACTCCGTACTAAATTTTTAAAATAGTTTCTTCTAATTGGGTATTTCTCCCAAACTAATCCATTTTTGAAATAAAAACTCATTAAAAATGGTCTCTCGACCTCGGCTAAACATTATAGTCTAATTAGATGGGAAGACTATGTCTGCTTCTGTTTCCATATTTAATGAGTTTTTATTTAAAGCCGTTAGTTGAGAGACTAAAGTGAGCATTATTCTCATTTAACGAGTACCAACTCGGTAATAACTTGATCCTGGAGACCAATTTGGAAAAACACATTTATTGAGTACCATTTTGAGAATTTATTCTAAACTTTTTAGACAAATCTCGCTAGAAAGATTAAGGGTCTGTTTGGGAATAGCGTTAGCGTTTTGGATAAAATTTTAACAGTTCAGATCACTTTGAAAACGCTAACGCTAAACGCTGCCCGTAGATAGCCTTTTCAAAACGCTAACGCTAAACGCTGCCCGTAGATAGCCTTTTCAAAACGCTAACGCTAATCGCTAATGCTATTCCCAAATAGACCCTAAGCACCCGTGGGAAGACTGAACCTCGAATGGCAAGCCCACTAATGGCCCAAGACCCTAATATAAATAGAAACAATTGTGTAATAGAAGGTAAATCCTTCTTCCTCCTTATAAGCTTTCCCACTTGTTTCTTAGCCTATGTATCATCAAAGGCCTCATTGCCGAGCAATAAAGAACCCTTGGTTTTCTCCCATATTTGGTGAATTAATTCTGAATCAGTGCAAGAAACACAAAAGGTGTTCCGATCAGTATTTGTTAGAATTTGTAAGATCTAAACGATATACGTTGTACCGCTATTATTAAATAGATTTAAATTTCTAAAAATATAATAGTTTAGAAAATATAGTGTTGCAAACCTGTGGACTCGCAGAACACTTTATACCGTTGAAATCACCTTACTTTCCCAACAAAATAAAAATGTGAACTAAACATGGATTACATCTTAGTTTTAGAACTACATACCATAAATTAATTTTTCTGAAATGTTAGATAATATCTAAAACAAATATTTATGTGAATGACACCGTGTAATAAAAAAATTATTCCTTCTATCACCTCAAAACTTTGACATTACAAATTATTTTTAGAAGACCACTGAAAGGTAAAACTATTTCAGACAATTTCTCCTAAATTAATATATTTATTCATAGCAATTAGACTAGAGGTGTTGGATCTCCAAAAATCCCAAACACTTTCTTTCAACAATAGTATTCCATAGATTCATCAAACTCTATTCCATGTGTAAGATCTATTATGATGACATTGGATCTTATCAAAGACCCGGCAACATTTTTGGCTTTGCAGTGATGTTTAATGGGTAAAACATGAAGGTAACAAAATAAGAGCTTCATATTTTTATCCTAAAATAAGAATATAATACCAATATATAAAATCCAAAAATACAGTAAAATGGCACTATAAAATGTTATAATATCACAGTGCAAATTGTAAACTACAATTTTAGAAAGAACTTCTAATTTGAAGATAAATACTACTCCGGTATATTTTAGTACTATTATTTGAGGTGATTTCTTATGTTTTATCGCTCTAAAGATTTGAGAACAAACAGAAACCCTACAATGAAACAACAAATAATCTCTGCAACTAGAAAAGTGTATGAAGCAAAACAGTCCAATTACTCTTCTATTCTTGTTTCGAATAATATGAACAGGTTCTGTTAAATCTCATGCTAAGAGAAACAAAAAAGACAAACAGAAAAAAAAATGAAATATCTATGTTAACTTCATGCAATAACCACAATCCCCAGGGGAAATGCGGTTTTCTAGAGTTACAATTAAAGAAACCGGGGGGTAACACAAACAATTTGTGTCGTACGGGCTTACAGACCTTGACGATTCAAAGTTCAATAATGCCAAGGGTGCACTGACATTGTGACATTGAGTGTCTGTGTGTATCTGTAAAACCTTGGTGTACAAATGGGATACACCATTCGGCGTACTCCTAGCATTGCCCTTCAAAACATGGTAGGAGTATGCAACGAAAGGATCAGAGCTTCATGCTTTTAAAAGCCGAAGAGAGAAGAAAGAGTTTTTCAGTGGCTCTCTGTTTGTAATCTTCCTCAAGGGCCTTAGAGGACAAAGATTGCAGCTGATCTGATCTCTCTTTGTCTTCCTTGCCCCTTCCTTTAGTCAGATGTGCTATGGCAGATGTGCACTGTAATAGCATAACAATTTGTTAGTTTCCTTACCAGTGGAAGAGTGTAATCCCTCTGTTCCGAAAAAAGACTCCTTATTTCTTTTTTGGGATGTCCCAAGAAAAGCCTCATCCTTTGTTTCATGGAAAATTTTAGGCCACACATTTTCACATTCCCTAAACTTAACTGAGAGTTTTTTTTTTTTTTTGGGGACGGAGGGACTAATTCATTAGAAACTCACAATTCCAGCACTTTACTGTTTACTAGTTTAATGTTGTTATGCAAGTCTTCACGCAATAAGAATCCATTGATAGACCATACACCACGCAGGGGGAGAGATGGAAACTCACCAAGCATATACCGAAAAGGGCTCTGGTATTCTTGCCTCCGGTTAAGTCTATGGTAGACGCATAATATTTCTTGGCTGTCTGAATATTATCAAGTCCACCTAAAGTATAGAGAACCTGATGCCAGATAAGGTGAATGAAGGCAACTCACTTTACAAGGTAAACCTTCTCAAGGATGCAGTATAATGATGAAGAAATAAAAAGAAAATTGGACTCTATGACCTGCAACATGTATATCTACAATATCATGCAATGTGGATATTCCTGGTAACTCAGGTGCTTTTTCTCAAAAATCAAACGTTTCAATGGAAGTATTAGGAAAACGAACCATATCCATAATAAAATTGTAGAAGGTACTTTAAAGCCAAAGCAGGTCACAAGTTCCAAAAGAATAAGTAGTTGGTATTCATCATTACCATCATACCTTAATCCCAATTGTGTTGCGGTCAGTGGCATGAAATTCATAGACAATTAGATACCAAAATATAATTGTATAAAATTACTCAACACTAAAATGGATCCAAATATTCACGATCATTTGACTTCGGAGTAAGATGGAATAAAGCAAAATGGCTCTTAAACTATTTGTGCTTCTGTTGATAGTGGAGTAACAGTTAGCCCATGCAACTTTAGACACTCATCATGAGTCATCTGGAAACAGCCGCTCTATGTTTTAACATAGGGGCCAGACTGAGTACATCCGACCCCCCCTACCCCACAAAGGGTGGGAGCCTTTGAGGAGCCTTTGAGGCACTGAGGTAATGTTGTTGTTGTTTGTACTCAACACTTAAAAACTCATGCAAAATAAAGCATAGTAGCAAAGTTTTACAGCGGATACTTTTCTGTCACAACCTTCTTACCAAGGAGTAATGAAATCAAAATCCAAAATTATAACCACTATATGCTTTCTTCACTCACAAGGATAATATCATGAGAAAGCAATGATTTCAGATAATTGCTATACTAATGCTCCAATGTTGATATCTAGGGGCAAAAATGAGAAAAAAAACAAGTGTAGGTGTTAGCCAAGAGACTATTCACAGGGAAGGCGTGCGTGGGTGCATGCGTGTAACTTGTAAGGGTGCTATGGTTCAAGATGCAGGTGTGCTTCGCTTAGTTCGGACCAGTTTTGACCAGTTCTGGTCCGAGGCATCTTGACTAGGTACTGTTAGATTTAATCGTATTGTTTAATTCCTGTCCATAAAATAGTTAGTTTAGATTTAAATTTTAAAAATAAAAGGGACAGTTTTTGGGTAGTTAGTTATTTTTGGAAGTTATAGGTAGTTATTTCTAGAAGTTGTATTAGTTAGTAATAGATGTGTTGATTAGTACCAATAGTTGTGTTGGTTGCTGTCTATAAATACTCCAGGAACATAGAATTCCTGTATGTAGTTCACAATAAAAAAATCAGAATTTTATTCTGCATTTGATTTGTTCTTCCTATCATTTTTCTAACAATTGGTATCAGAGCGTGTGCGATCAGCGGCAAGGAAAGGGAGATCTGCGAGATCGTATAATGGAGCATTAGAGACTTCCTTGACAACAGATCAAGATTCTTCGACAAGATTCTTCCTTGCCTTGGACGAAAATAGCAGGTGGCTAGTTTTTTCGTTTGGCAGAAGGATTCCAACCAAACGGCGTGGGAAAAACGAATCAGCGGGGTAGCTTCCGTTTAGTGACTTGGAAGACGGAAAAACAGGGGCTTGTTTACTGGTTGGGGGTCGATTGCAGGTGGCTTACGACCCAGGAAGGAATCAAAGTCTAAGAATTTTGTGAAAATTGTCAAAGGAATTAAAGTCGTGCAATGGAAGACAATAGACAGATTGTGACTACAAGGGAAAATAGTTCACTATCTTTTACGGTTCCAATTCTAACTGCTACAAACTACACTATTTGGGCCGTGAAGATCAAAGCAATTTTTAATGTTAATGGGATTTGGGAGGTGATCGAACCAGGAANCTGGTTGGGGGTCGATTGCAGGTGGCTTACGACCCAGGAAGGAATCAAAGTCTAAGAATTTTGTGAAAATTGTCAAAGGAATTAAAGTCGTGCAATGGAAGACAATAGACAGATTGTGACTACAAGGGAAAATAGTTCACTATCTTTTACGGTTCCAATTCTAACTGCTACAAACTACACTATTTGGGCCGTGAAGATCAAAGCAATTTTTAATTTTAATGGGATTTGGGAGGTGATCGAACCAGGAATAGAAATCGATCCAAAGAAGAACAATATGGCAATAGCATATCTGTTTCAAGCTTTGCCGGAAGAGATCGTGTTACAAGTTGCTCGGTTTACTGAAGCAAAAGAAATTTGGGATGCTTTGAAGACTCGCTTCGTTGGTGTTGACAGGGTTAAAGCGGCGCGATTACAGACACTTGAATCAGATTTTGAGACTCTAAAGATGAACAATGAGTCACTTGATGATTTTGCTGGTAAAATTAGTCAACTTGCAACACAAGCAAACAACCTTGGGTCTGCATTTGAAGACAAAAGATTGGTTCAAAAGCTTTTGGGTTCTGTTCCTGAAAAGTCCATACAGATCGTTGCTGCAATTGAACAGTTTGCTGACAGTAACACAATGCCGTTTCAAGAAGCAGTTGGAAGATTGAAAGCATTCAAGGAACGCATCAGAAAGCCAACTGAGGAAGGAGATACACATGGTAAACTACTATTCACTAAAAGTGATGGAAAAGAGAAGGTTCAGGAGCACAAATGTGAGCATTGTGGTTGCTGGAGCTCAAACCGAGAAGACTTTGGACGTGGCCGAGGTAGAGGTCGGGGGTCCGGGAAAGGACAGGATGGTGGTTGGTTTCAGCGGGATAAGAGTCACATTAAGTGTTTCAAGTGCAATGAGTTAGGACATTTTTTGAACGAATGTCCAAAATGGGATCAAAAGGAAGACATTGCAAATTTGATTGAAGATGATGATGAACCAACGTTATTGTGAAGATTGGTGAGAACAAACAACGATTAGGGGGGTGATTGTTAGATTTAATCGTATTGTTTAATTCCTGGCCATAAGTTAGTTAGTTTAGATTTAAATTTTAAAAATAAAAGGACAGTTTTTGGGTAGTTATTTCTGGAAGTTATAGGTAGTTATTTCTAGAAGTTGTATTAATTAGTAATAGATGTGTTGATTAGTACCAATAGTTGTGTTGGTTTGTGTCTATAAATACTCCAGGAACATAGAATTCCTGTATGTAGTTCACAATAAAAAAAATCAGAATTTTATTCTGCATTTGATTTGTTCTTCCTATCATTTTTCTAACAGGTACTTCAGACTAGTCTCAATCCGGTCATATCGTCCAGTCCAATCTAATTTTGAAAAAATTGTAGGGTGTATAAGAATAACTCACACATTGCAAGTCATTCAATGTGCAAGCAGGTTGTAGAAGATTCCACGGTCTAAACACATAGTTGTAAATAGAACATGAACCTGGATGAGTATAAAATATGCATCAATGAAAAAGTCACATACATCAGCATAAGCTAAGTGATAAAGAGGAATCGTTGGTTGAGATAAGATGAGTTCCTCATAGCAGAAAGCCGCCTGCTTATACCTATATAAAATAACAAAGTGAAGGGGGTCAAATGTACTCTTAAGGCATATCAGTCAAGGGCGTTGATGGGAAACAGCATTGCCCTCCTTGCGAATGGAGAAGAAAATGTTATCATGACCAGGTAAGATGTGATTTCAAAATCTCTTACATTTGTAGGGAGACATATATTTCTGCAAGTTCTCTCCAAGCATCATGATCTGCCATGAATCTAGCGAATATAAAACAATTATAAATACTTTTTTAAGGGAATAATTGTAGATATTAATTCTAATAATAAAAAAACTAATAGTAATGATTATGTTCATAATAATATAATAATACTAATAATAACAGTAATAGTAACAAGTACAATTAAATATAGTAATAAGGATGGCTCGGTTCTTTTTGACACCGGCCTTGGGTGTCATAACATTACATAGGCCATTTGAGGGGTCGTAAAGTGCTCCGTGAGGTACAGGGTTGGGTAAGGGGTGCCGGGGATAGGGTTGGTTAGAGTGGGTTGCCTGGGGGAAGGGGGTGCCCACGCATTCCAGCTATTGAATTGTGGCGGGGGCTTCAGCTTCAACAGGGCAGGTTGGTGGGGTGAGGGCTGTGGGGGTTACAAGGTAAGACCCAGTTTGGGCACAACGAAACATCATAGGACCCTCTAATGGCCTTGGTTTCATAGAAGGCCACCAAAGTGATAATACAAGGAATGGAATAATTCATACAGAAAACAATTAATGGTAAATGTTTTTAAGATTCTCCTCACATTTCAAGATACTTATTTAGCAATTCAATTGCTCTTGACATATTGCCTTCTGCCTTTGCCATGGCTACCCTTCGCTTTTGTATAAACTGTATGAATGAGTCAAAACTAAAAATGTGAGTGAGAGAAAGCATGCCAAAGAATACATAGCTAATATTATACGGCAGCAACTCCATGAAGTAAACGATGTTAGAAATAAACAACAAAGCTCTGGCTTAAAATTAATAGAAAAAGTGCAAAAGAAAATCAACTTCTAGCACTGGCTAGGAAACAAATGCAAATAAACCCTTGAGTCTTGTCCTAAGTTACATTTTGTGGTGCGGGATAATGTCCATGGCCTAGATCTAGGTCTTGTGAGTTTCATCCGTGCATCTATGCGACTACGGTGCATTAAGGTATATTTTTAAATATGCATAAGGGCCCATGTAAGAAACATAAACCTTCTAATATAAGCAATACATTATTAAAAGGATATGCATTTTTTTAATTCTATTAACTTGTTCCATCATCTCCGATGGAGCCAAAATTTCACCATTTTTTGGCTTTGGGGTGTGATGGAATAAATCGAAATGGATCTCTAAACTGTCTGCGCTTCTTTAATTAATGAAGTAGCAGTTAGTCAAGCAATGCAACTTTTGACGTTGAGCCGGGGGTCTCTTTGGAAACAGCCTCTCTACTTTCGAGTAGGGGCAAGGTCTGCGTACACACACCCTCCCCAGACCCTACTCTTGTGGGATTTAACTGGGTTGTTGTTGTTGTTGTTAATTCTATTAACTTGCTTGTATGAGAATGTTTATGTTTGTTCTTAGGTCCAAGATAGAATCATTTGTATAATAATAAAGACACTTCAAAATTTGATTAAAAGAATTACACGCACACATATATAGGAAGGCTAATGTTGCACACACTCATTTAGCACCAATTCTTTCTCTGAGATGGATGGAGTATATTACACATCTTACTCCAAGGACCATGCAAGAAAGCATTTTTATATCAAGTCGATACTGGCATACAACAGCTAATGAGAGATAGCTGGGTCACACAAAACTCAAGGAATAGTTTCTTCCACTTGCATGAGTAGACAATAGCACATATGCCTGAGGTGTAGAGGCTACTATTGTCCCAATTGGGTTTATCTTTAAAATGTAATGTCTTGGAAGTAGGAATAAAATTTAAAAGCCTTAAAGTTTAATTTCTAAATGTGTGTGTGTGCACTGAGATGTCAGGATCAAGACTAATTTAAAAACCAATTTCTGATATCATCTTGACTAAGACGGGATCCTGACAAAACCTAGACTAGTCAAAATCGAGACTGTTGGGACTGCGATTTAGCAAACGGGAACTATTTCAAACCCCAAGTTAGAACATTATCATGTCAAAAAGGAACACTACATAAATTTAGAAAACCTCTTTCCTAGTTTCTACCTGATCAAATGGATTCTCTTCCAGAAGACTCAAGTAAGCTTTTCCTGCTTCCTCATATGATCCCCTGGCCTCAAGCAACATTGCTTCTAACCTGCCTGAAAATACCACCATATAGTAATTAGTAAGAGTGTGTCCTCTCTCAAGAGGAAAAAGTAGCAAGAAACTCAAGGCATATTTTTAACATATGCACATTAAGACACTTATCTACTACTCACCAACTCGTTTGCTTCCTGGAAACTTTTTCTTCAAAACATTGATCTTGTCCTGCAAATCATGTTCGGACAAACAAACTGCAGTAAGAAGCTGTTCTCTTCATCTGATTGTTCTGATCTGATTTTATTAAGATATCTGGTCTGTTCTGATTCTATTTAAATTTAAAGTTGCTTTGATCTGGTCAAGTTTGATCTGATTCCAATAAGGCTCTCTTCTTTTGGGTTGGAAAAATTAACTTCCAACTTTTTCCAACTCCTTCCAACCCATTCCAGCTTCTTCCAACGACTTAAAAAATGTACTTATATATGATGAAAATATAATAACATTATATATCCAAATTTATAACATATCACCTCAAACACAAACAATGATGCACTCTTTTTTTATCTAAAGTTGAAATTTTCTTACATATTTATTTGGGTGATCATTTAATTGAGTGACTTTTTAACACTTAAATTCTTCCAACATTTTCCAACTCCTTCCAGTTCCTTCCAACTTCTTCTAATTTCTTCCAACATCTAACTCTAGAATTCCAAGCCAAAAGAACAGAGCCTAAGAATAAGTAATACTCCTTAAGTAATAAGAGAATACAGCCTAAATGTTTTCTGATGCAAATCTACTGCAGTAGTTTTATGTTAAGTTCAAAGATTCATAGTATTAACAAAGAGAATCAAGTACAAAGTTTGGTTGAGAACATCACAATAGTCCAACACATGTATGAGAATGAACTGCCTGAGAAACATGATGCGCATATTCATTTATTGTGCCATACACAATTTTTAAAAAAAAACCATAGTTATTACGTACTATCCTCAATAAGAACTTCAAAATCATCAATAGGAACCATCAGTTTTACCAACGGAACACCATAGGTGCCCCGAGTCATTCTAAGGTCAAAATAGCCCGGGTCAAAAGAACCGTGTTGTTGTTGTTGTTGTTATTATTGTTATTATTATTATAATCATCATAATCATCATCATCATCATCATCATTATTATTCTTAGTTTCCCATGACTCCATGAGTAACCTTAAACTACTCCCTTCACGCAAGTATTAGACAAAAATTGGTATTTTACCTTTGCCACGTCAAGACATTGGCAGTCCATAGCAGCAATAGCCACCTGCTCATATAAGGTCCATTCTGCATCATTTCAAATAAAAGGCAACCTAAATCATGTTGAAACTTCAACAACTAAACCAACAAAGCATTGATAACATAGGTTGTTTTCAGGAAGTGAACCAACTAGAGAGCAAGTGCCAACAAGGGAAGAAAAGTAAAATACTACATATCCAATATGATGTTTTACTCCGTATAACATAACAACGGTTGACAGTAATGATTGTGTGCATATGACACTGACAATTGTTTGCATATGGAACATGTTGTAGCATGTGGACTCAGAATTTTTGGGGCTCAAATATTAACACCGCTTCTTCGGTATATACACATATATAACATGTTAATATAAAATGTAAAGCATATGAACGCGGCGCGGAGGTGCAAATAACAACTTGATCTTATTTGAGCTCTTTGGGTCGTATCGGGTCTCAAATAACAATAATTTCCCTTCGCGATTTAGCAAGAAGGCCATCTTTCCATCTATATTAATTTTTTTCTCTATGACAAATGAAATAATCTACAAAAAAAAAGTCTACTCATAAATGTAAATTCTCATTTCCTAATTTGTAAAACAAAAAAACAAAGTGGTCTTTTTTTTTTTGCAGAAAAAAAGATAGGTGTAGAGTATTTACTGGTATAATGTGTGTGTTTAATTAAAAACAAAAAAAAAAATTATTCTAATTAAAATCAATCACAAATTAACATAAATGGAGGGATGTCCTTATATGTAATTTCACCTACAAATAGCTAACCATAAACAACTAAATTTTCCAAACATTTTTTTAACAGCTAACACAAACAGCCGGTCAAAACAGCTAACTCAACAAGTCATTCAAACCAGTCAACAACCAACATCCAAGTGCCAAACAGGGCCTAACCCATGTTCGGCCCAGTTGTAAGATTTTGATATCGATGAACATAACAGTATGGGCGTATATGCGTAACGATTTTGCAAAATTATAATGGTTTTTAGAATAAAAGAAGCTTATACCAAATCAAGTACATATTTTGACTTTCTTGTGCTAGACCTTTAGCTCGTAAACAGGGTACACACTTTTTTACAAAGCTTGTGTGTGAAATTTGTGGAACAATTCTTTACATCAGAAGAACAAATTTTTTCATTGGATTTCCCAGACAGCTCTTCAAATATGCAAGGAGTGTGTAAAAGGCAGAATTGGCATTTTGATATTGTTTATATGAGTGTTAGAGTATAAAATATTTATTCAGCCTCCAACCATCACATTAAGCTTTTAGTCGTGTTAACTCTTTGGTATTTATGTTATTACTCTCTCTGTTCCTATATAAAAGTCCTAGTACAACTTCATGGAGTTTTAGAAAGTTCTTGAAAAGTGAAAAGTGTGTGGAATGAATTTCTTTAGAAGAGAAAAATGTTATCAGCCACTTATCCATTTCCTTTTATGGAAAGAAAAGTGGAAGTTTCTTTTTGGATGGATGAAAAAGAAAAAGTGGAGATTTTATTTGGGGACAAAGGGAGTATGAGAGTATCTCTTTAAAGAAGATGAGCAAGAACGCAGTATTTTTAAACCACCGGCTCCATTAAAAATAAAAGGTGCAATTTGATTGTAGAGAGTGTAAGCTGCGAATATTTTAAAGCCAAGAAGCTAGTGGAGTATTTTTGGTTAACTACACACCATCACCAGGCACATTACTCTCTTGGATAGGTCAAGAAAGGCGAATAGATTCAAGTTGCAAAATCATGCAAAGTCCTGGTATCCATTAGCAAGCATCATAATTTATAACGATGTCCTTCCTTATGATATTATTGTAATAGATGCCTTTCATGTTTTGTTGAAACGACATTGCCAATATGAAAAAATGTGACCTATAAAGGAAGAGATAATGTGACGATGTTCATGTGAAACAGTGCCCCCAGGTGAAGTTCACTTATAACTTTATACTGCTATTCCATGAGATGTGCTTCATTTGGTAGAGCTTCCTAAGGTTCACTGCTTCATGTTTTCTGTAATTTACTAGTTTCATTGTTAAAAAGAGTATCTTTCTAAAAAATCACATCACTTAAAGTGCATAACATGATCCGTGAGTTTGTGATTCTGCTCAACCCCAAAACAAAAACATATTGCTTTTTTTAGTACTTAATATATTACATATTGCCTTTTTAGTACGACTGAATCTGTTACATTCTATTAGTATCAGTCCGTATATACTTTCTCAACCTACTGAATCGATGCCCCACTGGGGTTCGAACTTGTGACCTCCCATCTGGGAGGGTCAAAGTAATATCGCTTGACAACAAAGTCTTTGGCAACGAAAAAACAAGAAATAGCCCAAAAAATCCATCATTCAATATTTCAATCCATTACTGAATCGGGATTCAGGGATTAAGAATACCAATTCTGGTTTAAAAGATTTTATTCCACGGCAGGAGAGGGAATACCTTCAGTGCCAAGAGCAGATCGAGATTTGGCATCATTGAGGAGAGAGATGCCGTGCTTCAAGACCTTATCAGATCTGCGGAGCCTAAGTTTCCTGACGAGAGAAAGATATTCCCACGCGCCGCCACCTCCGTTGTCCACTTGAATCCCCAATCTGTTCACTCTGTCCTCCTCTGTTTTGCTCACCATCTTCACTCGCTCCAGCTTTCAGCTTCTTCTCCCGATCTCACAGTTTGATCATATGCAGGACTACAGTGGACAATCCTTTCCTTCCACCACCTTGAGTTGAGTGAATTCCATATGAAAATTTAAAAAAAAAGAATATATTATTCTCGGATCCATGTAAAATTGATAATTTTTTCTTGGTAGGGATACAACAAATGTTTACCTCAAATGTACACCACCCCACTCACACATGACACACCTATATGGAGTCTCAAGCCCCCACCCTAGACCTCCTTTTACCTCTCCAAATGGTGGCTATTATGCATTTGCATAAAAGCCATACATTTGAAAGGAGTAAAAGGGGGTCTAATTGGGCGCATTGATCGAGCTAGGTAAGGGTGTAATAGAAAGGTTTAGATAAGAATAGTGGGTAAAAATCATTAATTTTTTATTTGGAACTCTAAATAGCGAGTATCTTCCATTGACACTGGATTTCAGTGTCAAAGAAACCTTGTTGGTCTCCTATTTCATATTAGAAAATTATTTCGGAATCAATCTCAAACATGAAGTATTCTTAAAATAGAAATGTACAGATGAAAAATCTATTCTTGACTTTTTAATTTTAATTTTCGATTTCGAATTAAACAAAAATTACGTGGCAGATTTTGGGATTTTGTATTTGAAAATCATTTCAAAATCAATCCCAGACATGGACTAATCTTAAAATTGGAAATTATAAGGTTTATTTATAAAATTTAATTAAACTCAAACGGCTAGGTTCTAAGACCACTTTCTTGGAGTGGCCACAAAAAAACACTGTCACAATCACAATTCTACGGTGTTTCATTCGTAAAATTGATAGTTGTTACTTCCTAAATCCCTCCCTCCGGTAATCTCCCCTCCACCCGCAAGTTTAGTTGACTTTGGGTGGCGGGGGATAAGGGATAGGTAGAAATTATCAATTTTACAAACAAATATCATATGTGTCCAGTGTGCTCTGTGACCGCTCAAAAAGAATTGTCATAGAACAGGCCCCACACTCAAATTTGATTATTTGTTGTTTTTTATAGGATTGTCTACTACACACCATCATCGAGGTCAATAAGGATGTGTTCTACCCAATAGGATAGATTTATTTCTTAGTTCCTTAATTAGTGTTCTTGTATCTTTATTTTCTTGTAGTGGTTTATTCACAAAAAAAAGAATAACATGTCAAACACTTGAGGATAGTGTTGCAAGTATTAGGAGAATGTAAGTTATATCCAAAGTTGTGCAAGTGTTGATTTTGGTTGAAAGAAGTATCTTTTTTAGGACATTTTATTTTAGCTACAAGAATACAAGAGATAAAATAAATGAAATGATAAAAAATGCTTCGATGGAGAGCTCAACTAGTCTTAGAGATATAATTTAGAACAAGAGACCAATAATCGAGTCTCACTAGTGGCAGCGTGGGAGAAACCTCTCAAAAAATGAGGGAGACTCCTTGTGCATAGTGAGTAGGGCTGTGCATTGGTCCAAACCCAGACCAGACCAGGACCAAATAAAAGCAAATTAATGGACTGTAGACCGGACCGATATAGTGTAAAACCGGACCGGGACCGGACCGAAAAAAACTGGACCGGTCCGGACTCGCCCGATTAAGGACCGAATTAGGGGGAATATGCCATTTGATTGAAACTTTGAAGATTTGCAATGGGGAGAATGGCAGTTTCTTTAAAATTTAATAGAATTGAGAAAAACAATATACTCCATTACTCCAATAGTCCAATGCTCCAAACAACATACTTCAATATTCCAAAAAATCCCATAATCAATAGTCAATACAAACAACCACATTTAAATATCCAATCACAATTCATAGGTTTTAACTTAAAGCAAATTAGAATATGTAAGTTAAAATTTCACACCAACTCTAATAGATAACGCAAAAACCATAAATGTATATTGTCAAATATTTATAATATAATAATTCATGAAATCTTGATCTTGAACCAAAGTCCACACTCCCAAGAAGGCAGGACTCCCGAGTTCCAATATTCTTGAGCCCTTGAATATGCAAAAAAAAATATTTATATATATTTAGCAATGAATGCATGCAATTTTAGAAATAAATTTAACACAAAAAGTTTCAAAGTAATATGGAATCAAGTTTAATCTTACCCGCTACCGCACATCAAAGCCTTAAAACATCAACGGTATCCACAACACAATCATGAACACTCAAGTTTGCCATATCTAGTAAAACAAATATCCAAGTGATTTTGGTAAAAAGGATAGGTCATAACTCATAAGCTTAAGCCAAAGAAATGCATTTGAAAAATAAAAACAATATGCTAAAGTACTAATTGTAATTGTTACCTTTTTCAACTGATTTTAACTCATCGAGTGTTTCTTCCATGTCAATCTTCTTAGATGTCTTTAGCCAATCTTGAGAACATATCAAAGCTTGTACCATCTTTAAAAAAAAGTCAAAAAAAATATAAATACAAGAGAAAGTTTAAGTAGTTAAAGTAAAGAGTTGACCTTTGGAGTTAAAGATGTTCGGAATGCATCAAGATGACGTCCTCCTGTACTGAATGCAGACTCTGATGCTACGGTAGAAACAAGCACAGCCAAAATATTGTTGTATTTAGGTGCCCTAGCGGCAATCAAATACCTATGTAACTGTACACTTTATCATGAATGAAAGGCTCTGAATTATGTTTTATATCTCGTGTAACATAACATAGCTTCAGTCCATAGACGATAGCGCTTCAGTAACATAGATGAGGACTACGATGTTCTGATTATGAGACTGTTACTTCTTGACGAAGGCTATGTCTAAAATATCCCTAGTCGCACTTTATGATAATACGGACATCATAACGTATCAAGACTAGTATGTACGAGATGAGATAGTTGCGTCTCATAGACTATAGGTATTGTGATATCTTAATCTGTACGTAGGTGCATATTATATCGATAATATGTGACTGGATTGACCCATCTTGAGAATACTGCATGGATCTACAGTAATGTGTTTATCAGTATTCTCAAATCGACCTTGCTATAACTATCCTTAGACTTGAAGTTATTACATTCTCTGATATGTGGGGCCGTAT